AAGGATTATATTCTTTTGTTGGATTGATCCCTTTATCATTATGAAATGTACTTCTTTGTCTCTTATTATAGCCTTTGTTTTAAAGTCTACTTTGTCTAAGTATTGCTACCCCAGCTGTTTTTTGTTTGTTTCCATTTACATGAAATATCTTTTCCATCTCTTTATTTTTAGTCTGTGTGTGACTTTCAATCTATCTGAACTGGGTCTCCTATAGGTAGCATATGTATAGGTCTTGTTTTCTTATCTGTTCAGCTACTCTATATCTTTTGATTGGGGCATTTAACCCATTTATATTTAAAGTGATAATTGATCAGTACATAGTTATTGCCATTTTATTATTTATATTTATGTTCTTTCCCCCCTCCCTTCTTCTTATATTATAGAAGTCTTTTTAACATTTCTTGTAATACTGGTTTGGTGGCAATGAATTCCTTTAGCTTTATTTTTGTCAGGGAAACTCTTTATCTCCTTCAATTTAAAATGATAGACTTGTTGAGTAGAGTAGTCTTGGTTGTAGGTCCTTGCTTTTCATCACATTGAATATCTCATGCCAATCCCTTTGGCCTGCAAATTTTCTGTTGAGAAGTCAGCTGACAGTTTATGGGAGCTCCCTTGTAGGTAACTAACTGCTTTTTGCCTGCTGCTTTTAAGATTCTCTCTTTGTCTTTAAACTTTGGCATTTTAATTATGATGTACCTTGGTGTAGGCCTCTTTGGGTTCATGTTGTCTGGGACTCTCTGAACTTCCTGGACTTGTATGTCTATTTCCTTCATTAGGTTAGTGAAGTTTTCCATCATTATTTCTTCAAATAGGTTCTCAATCCCTTGCTCTCTCTCTTCTCTGGAACCCCTATAATGTGAATGCTGGTATTCTTCATTTTGTCCCAGGGGTCCGTTAAACTATCCTCATTTTCTTTAAATTCTTTTTTCTGTTTGTTGTTCTGATTGGGTGTTTTCTGCTACCGTAATTTCCAAATCACTGATTTGAGCCTCAGCTTCATCTAATCAGCTGTCGATTCCTTCTGGTGTATTTTTCATTTCAGTTATTGTATTCTTTATTTCTGACTTGTTTTTTTTATGGTTTCTATGTCCTTTATGCTTACTATCTCTTTTTTGAAGTTTTCACTAAGTTCTTTGAGCATCCTTATAATCAATGTTTTGAACTTTGTATCTGCTAGATGGCTTGCCTCTATTTCGTTTAGTTCTTTTTCTTGAGTTTTCTCCTATTCTTTCAGTTGGGACATGTTTCTTTGTATCCTCATTTTGGCTGCCTCTTTGTGTTGGTTTCTATGTATTAGGTAGATCTGGTACATCTCCTAGTCTTCGCTAAGTGGCCTTATGTAGTAGGTGTCCTTTTGAGGCACAGGGGGTGCAGTCTCCCTGATCGCTTGAGCTGAGTGCTCTAGTAGTGTCCCTTGTGTGGGTTGTGTGTGTTCTCCTGTTGTAGTTGAGCCTTGACTGCTGTTGGCATGTCAGTAGGTGGGATGGACCCTGAAGCTGACTGGCTGTGAGGATTAGCCACCACTATAGCATATGAGCTGCTGTGCGGAGGTTGAATCAATGGAGCAGGATTTATCCTGGTGGGCTCTGAAGCCTGCCAAGATCACCCTGTGGGTGTGACATGTGGGGCTAATCAGGTGGTACTCTGTTGTGATCTGAAGCCATCCACTGAATGCGTTGGTTCTGGGGCCTCTTGGGAGGGGCTCCAGTGCAGGTCCAAGTTAGCCACTGCCTGTGACAGGCCTGGGGCTACTTGGTAGGAGCTGCAAAGCAATTCATGGTTGGTCGCTGCCTGTGCTGGACCTGGAGGTGCATGGGAGAGGCCTCACTGTGAACCGAAGCTGGCTATCACCAGTACTGGGCCTGGGACAGTTCATCAAAAGGCTCAGGGCACCCCAAGTCCTGCTGCTGCCTGCTGGCTGCCTATATGGCTCAGCTGCTGATAAAGCCTCTGTCAGTACGTGAGTTGGAATGAGGCAGAATCTCAGGGAGTCACCAAGGTGAGGCGAGTGGTATTCAACAGGCTAATGCCGATTCAGATTTGGCCATCTGGGGACAGGGCTCAATACAAGAAAGATGGTGCCTGCCTACTGGTTGCATGGGAGGAAGGCTCAACACAAGGACAATGGCAGCCATCCTTCCAAGCCCTCATCCTAAAGTCACACAACTCAGACTCTCCCCGTATGTCTCTGGTGTCTCCTGAGCCACCATGTCTCCACTGGAGCTCAGGGTGAGTGCCTGCAAATGAGTGAGTCCATGTGAGGGCCTTTTAAGACGTTGCCTGTGTTTCCGGCAGCCTTTCATGTCACCTGGATGGACAAGAGTCCCTGATTTTCACAGCCAGATGTTATGGGAGCTCCTCTTCCTCGCCCTGGTGCTCCAGGCTGGGCAGCCTAGTATAGGACTGGGACCCCTCACTCCTTAAGGTGCATCTCTACAGCCGACATATTCCTCCTGATTCTCAACCATCACACACGGATATGGGGCCATCCCGTTCTGTACCTACACCTCTCGTACCAGTCTTGATGTGGCTTCTTTATATCCTTAATTATAGGACTTCTGTTCAGCTAGACCAAACGGCCAACTTTTGAGACAGAAGAGCTGCCAGGTGTCAGCAAATTGCGGCTTGCAACTGTGGCTCTGAAGTAAAATTGAAAATGAAAATAAAACTATCATAGTTTCATTTATAAAATCTTTAAAGGGTATTATTCACACAATGGTGATTATGTAAAAATATATTTATGGCTCTTGAATAATTTTTAAATTGTTGTGAGGGACAGGATTGGCTCTTCCAGGAGTTGGCAAACTTTTGAGACAGAACGTACCCAAAGAGCCGCATGTGGCTTGTGAGCCAGTTTGCTGACCCCTGAGCTAAACTTCAGATGGTTCTCCAGGGTGATTGTTCTATAATTTAGTTGTAATTTTAATGTGGTCACAGGAAGAGGCAAGCACACTGTTTACCTCCACCATCTTGACCATTAGTCCAAATTTTTTCTTTTTGCTTATCAGTGTTTCCTAATTTTTCCATAATTAACAATTATAGTTTCTATAAAAGGAAAAAAGTTTCTATTTGGTTAAAAAAAATGAGAGCCTCAGATTAGATGATTCTTTGTGTCCCTAATATCCTGATTTCTTTATGGCTCACAAATGTTTTCTCTGGTTTCTTTTCTTTTCTTGGTTTCACAAGAGAATGATTTCATTTCCCAAAGTGCTCACTGTAGAGACACTATGTTCCCTGAAGTCTGGGGTGTAGCCTGCAGCCATCTCTGGGCCATTGTGGTGAGGGGCAGGCTGAGGGATGGGGGGTGCCGGGGCCTGGGGAGGTGACACTACACTCCCCATCCCTGAGCCCTTCCCAGCCAGGTCCCAGGCCTGAAGACCCTCCCTTCAGATGCCACAGAGCTCCTGTCCTCCGCCTCAGGCTTCCTTCTATAGCACGTCCTGATACTTCTCTGCGGGGACCTGAGGGCAGGGCCAGCACCTACCTCCTGTGTGGGCTCCTCCCTGGCAGATGTCACTGAGATGACTGACACAGAGGCCGCTGCAGTGCTCACATCTTTTCTCTCTTTTAGATTGGAAATCAGTCCCCACACACTTGGCTCTTGCTAGAACACCCTCCTCACCAGCTGAAGAGGAGGAACTAATTGAAATCCTGGAAGAGCTGATTCAGAGATTTAAACAGGCCAGGCCAGACCCAACATGGGGCCAGAATGACCTTAGGAAACCCGAGAAGGTGCAGAGCAAGGGCAGTGAACAGGCTCTGCTTCCGCTTTGCCCTAAAGATGCCCCTGTAGCAATGAGGAACTTACAAGGAGCGGGAGCTTTTATTTTAAAATAAATACGACCGGGCTGGGAACAAGCTAAGCTTCATCTTCCACAGCAGGTCCTTTCCCCGTGTAAGGCTCTCATTTATGGTGAGAATGTGGTCTTCTTTAAAATTCTGCATTTAAAATTCCCCACATTGTTAGTCTGAGGGGAGCAGGAGTGGGAGGAAGAACGAATGCACTGTGCATTCCTGTCCACCAGCAGAGGGCGCTACACTGCGCTGCATCCCCAGGAGCCAAGTGTAAACAAGGGAGAGTGCCTATTCACATAAATTACGTGGAGCCTTGTTTACATTTGCTTACGATTAGAAGTGGCTTCAATAATACACCTGTCATTTTGGTGCTACAGTTGGATAAAACTTCTAAATTATACCATTTTACCTCCTAGTGACTCCAGGGAAAGTTGTTAACAAATCAGTGAACAGATTTATAATATATCTACATACATTCTTGGTGTTCAAGGCGACACAAACATAACTCATCACCCACAGTGGAGAAAAACCCAGGTGGGCACAGCTCAGCCAGTTACATGGTACGGTTCCTCAGAGGTGCTCAGATCCAGGCTCTCGGCCAAGCAGCCCGAGGGAGGGGTTTTTCTGGGTGCATCTGACTGGAAGGCCAGCAAGCATGGGGTCCATTTGTCTGCAGCTCTTTTTCTGATGTACTGGGCGTGGGTGAGGCTGTGCTGGCAGAGGTAGGCTGTGAGGGATGGGTGCTACCGGGGGCAGGGGCCTTGGTGTGAAGTGCCACCCAACTACCACATTCACTGGCTGTTTGCCATGGTGCAGGCCACTGATTCCTTCTCACTTATTTTCTTAACCATAACATGGGCCTCATGAGTTTTCAGAGAGGCTTTTCTTGGCTGTATTTGCCCGGAATCCCTCTTTCTCCTCATTTGGGGAGTTAATCAACCATAGTTAAAGTAGACTTATGTGAAACATAAACAAATAAAATAAGGACAACATGTCACAGCCCATTTGCTGTGCTTAGAGTCTGGGGTGAATGGTGGTTCATCTTTGTCACCAGACTGCTGCTCTCCTTGGGGTCCTGAGAGCCAGGTACAGGAGTGGCCTGGAGACTTACACCCACCTCCATAGTTAACACCGAAGTAGGGTTGTTGGAGTGTATGTGGTCACGAGTTACGGCTGGACAACAACATGGGACCACAGTTGCAGGATGTTTTCCACAGAGATTTATTTTAAACCATGGAGGCAAGACTTTGCATTGAGTCTCGTACACTGGTAACGGCTACATGTAATTAGTAGGAGGGAAGCACAGTGGAAAAGGAGCAGAGTTTAAAACATTCACAACATTCAGCAGCATTTGCATGTAGAACTGGATACAGACACTTTAACACTGTAGGAAATTCTTGCTCAGTCCCACCCCATCACATTCAGGAAATCCATGTCAAGACTGCTTGGTCTGGTTGGTGGAATCGGTGACAGAGAACCACGTCTGAGAAATCAGTTCCAGCTTCAGGCTATTACATTCTCAGCCTGACCCTTAGGAGACTCTCACTTCAAAAAGGAAGAAAGACTATCCATCAAGTAGCATGCCCTCAGCAGCCAGGCTCCGGTGTGGTCACAGGTGGGCGTCCGGAGCAGAAGCGTCCATGGCCCCGGTTCTGGATACAGTGGTCGGTAGGCACGATGTGGGGCTAGCACCTCCCTTGTTTCCAGTTAATAACAGTCTTTTTACTTTTCATAGAAAGAGTTTCTTTTGCAAAATGACAGTACACTGAAAAAAAGTCACTTAAAAAGCAAGGCAAATGGCGTAAAACAAATATATATGAGAGTGCAGTAGTTACCAGTGACACAAGTATTCTGGTTCATGCTTCATTCTGGTGTATGCTACTGACATAAGGCTACCATCCATTTAAATGGAAAAAGTGTATATAAGTGAAATACTTTTTTCAAGCTTTTTTCCCTCTTTGTGTTATAGTTCACTCTCTCGTGCTTCCCAGAGAATAAAGAAAAAATGAGGGGTGGGGAGAATCATGACTATCAAGGGCAGATTCTAATTTTAACCTTTTAAACCAACCTGCAATTCCCTGAAACTTTCTCTCCCAAGAAAGTCAGATACACTTTTGACTCATGAAGGTGAACATTTTAAGGTATTTGTTCTCAATGAGATGGAACCATGCTTAACTTTCACCTTCATCTTTTTCAAACCTCCAAGGTTCTAGATAGAAAAATGCCCAAAGCAGTTTTCTCGATATGACAGAAGACACAGGTGCTGCGACACGCTTCCATTCATCTGCGCGAAGTCAGCCATGCGTGGGCCGGCCGCTGGTAATGGTTTTGGTGGGACCAATAACAACATTCATGGAATCATAGAATCGCGGGATTGGAAGGGATCCTAAGAACGACCACTGACTTCAACCCTTCCTCCAGGCTTTCATCTCCTTCCCACACCACGGACAAGGGGCTGCCTATGGTCAGTGCGAACATTCCCTGGCATGAGAAACGAAGGAGGGATGCCATTCCAATTTTGGACATCTAATTTTTAGACATTTCTTTGGTGTGTTAGGCCTAAATAGGCTTCTCAGTGGAAAGGATAATGTTTCAAGACAAAATTAAAAACTAAAACCCCTCAATTGGCAAGTATATAGTTCTTGGTTGTAAAACTGAGCTAAAGTTTAAACATGAACATGGATGTTCCTGAATTAAGCTATGAACACATGCTACTTGGGGACTGAAAAAAGAAGGCAAATGGACGGAACTGCAGGAACTAGAAAGTGCCACGGCCTGTGGTGGGAGGCTGGGTGCCACCCAGGTCTCGGAGCCAGGTCTCTGAGGCAGTGGCTTCCTGAGCCATTTTTACTGTCACTGAATTGAGAAAAATGTTCCCTTCTACTCTTCCACTGCGAGAATGCCGCTGCGACGAGGATTGATCACATTTACCACACTGTACTGAAATGACCCATTGCTTGCAAGAATGATTTAAGGCCCAGAGGGCAATGAAGGGCAGCAGCTGCCTGCTTATGCACGGGAAGGCATGGCGCTGCGTATCAGTGTAATGCCAGTTGTCTAGAACAATCTCCTCCTGCCACAGGTCAAGGTGTTTCCTCTTTCAAAGGGGAGCAGCTTAGCCCAACCCGCCTGAGTAATTATGGAATTAGTAGGTCCGGTCTTCCAGGCCAAGGCCAAGTCCATGCATGTGCGGTCTCCAGATCTACCTCGCCACCTCCAGTGAGGGGCTGTCCACACAGAAAGTTCAAAAATTAGTTACCACGGGTCATTTTAAGATAACAATTCAAGGCATTTCCAAGGAAAAAGAAACTTTGATACTAGCCTTGACTGCAGGAAAACTTGACTAGGGTAAGGTGCCTTTTCAGTGCCCCTGGGTTTCCACTTAAATATTGCTGCTGGGGTGGTCTGTGGGGGCAGACTGTAGGAAGGAAAGTTTACACTGATGAAGACCTGCAATAATTGCCTCACTGCATAGTACCCCCTCAACCACAGGGCTGGGGCCAAAAGAAGTGTGAAATTTGCCTATGATAAGAGGAACAAACCTGGTTTCTGAGGGCTCCCTGTTTCAAGGCGCTACAAGTCACTCCTCCCGCTCATGCCATTACCAAGTAATGTTCAGAAACAACTGCTCCTTGAAAATTTTTCTTTTAGATTTTCTTATTTATACCTCAGCTGTTCTAACTGCCTGATTGGACGAAAGTGTTTTGTGCTTGGAACATTCTAGATCTCTGAAGATCCCTTCCAGTTTTGCAATTTTATGATTCTTTGAATAATTCAAACAATCAAATAAGACATACATAATGGTTGATGGACCTCATATAAAAAGACACACAACTCCAAGGACTTAGTGTAAAACCACTTTGGCTACTGTGGAGACATACCTAGGCAGCTAAAGGTTCCAGTAACATCATTTCTTTGGAGAAACCGAGAACACTTGATTGGATTTATCCTACCAAAGAAAGAACTATGTGCATGATATGTGCAGTTTTGCCACTTTCCCAACATAGCCCCGTTAGGCATTACTTGCCAGAACTTCTGTATTTCAAAGTAATAGAGCAAAAATATATGTAAAGTGCAAATCCATTAGAGTAAAACAAGAACTATGAACAAGAACTAATAAGAACTGACCTAGACAGGAGAAAAGTCAAGTGCTGGTGCCAGCTTTCACTCCTAGGGAATGAAGCCTCCATTTCCATAAAATGCTTGGAAGACACCCAACACCAGCACCTCTCTCTCTCTGAGTTACAAAAATGGTGGAGACACTTAATGTAAAACTCAAGAATTCACAGTATTACGAACATACACAGTTGGTTTGCTTAGCACTTCTCACCAAATGCAAGCACCCACACAGATGAGGAGAAAGAAAAGGGCAGAGCAGTAGACACTTTGACATATCTATGGTTTTTGGCTGTGACGCTCATCACCAATGAGGTGTCAAGTGGGTTTAATCTCTGAGTGGTTCTGTGGGCTGGGGCACAGCCACGCTGGGAGGGAGCTGACAGTGAAGTGCAGGGTGACAGACAGAGTGACCGTGGTGTACACATGTGATCCAACAGGGACAGTCAGCTTCCCACATGGGGTGTGAGCGCATCCAGACCTGACTCAGGCCCGTGCCAGGCTTACTGAGTGCCTGATCTACCGCCTCCATCACACGTGTCTCCCGCTTTGTAGAGTGGCCACGCTCCAAAGTTCAGGAAGCGAAAACAGAGTGACCCATTTCTAGCACTCCTTTCCAACACAGTTCTCTGTTATGTACAACTTAGTAATGGCTGCAGGGTCTAGTAATAAACTATAAAATAGGTATCTGAAGATCTTAAATTTAATTCCCCTTTTATAGCTCTCTCGCAGAGCAACCATGCAGAACAGACTCAGATTAACTGTAACAGCTTGATGGCAAGCAAGGGTAGTGTGGAAGGGCGCAGTGAAGTGACAAGTGGTAATCACTTCCGTATACGTGCGCACGTGCATACAACCTTAGAGTATGGTCACATGGGCTGATCTGGTCTGATGTCTCAGGGGGTGGCTGTCACGTGCCACGGCTGATTGGGGAACACCCACTGGTCCTGCTTCCCAATGCTGCCGCAGCAGTCATCGCTAGGGAGCATGCGTGGTCAGTGTTCGGGGCAGGATCCAAGTATGGCTGCTGGTACTGTCCCCGGTTAAAAAGAAACGTAATTAATGATCATGATAGAAAAATGTGCTTTCTAGGAAAAGGGAAAAAAATCCGTCAAATCAGAAGTGAACAAGACACTGTGGAGGTAGGACTTGGATTGGGATGGGCAAGTAATTGGCCAGTTTACTTGCAAGGCTTTCTTTAACCTGGTGATCCCCAAGAGACTCAGTGATCCCCATTGCTCTGGACAGGTGAGGGCTGACTGAGGTGATACATGTAAAGTGCTTAGAATGGGGCGGGCACATAGCACATGCTTGCCCACTCATTTAAATTCTATTTTTATAGGTGAAAATAAGATTTTTAAAAAGGACTTCAATATCCTGAGTTGAGTCACTACACACAAGAATATTTCACTTTATCAAGTTTGACCGGATTCCCTTAAACTTAAGAGTTCTTCAAGTTGATTTTCTAAAGCCCTTTTTTTTTACATTCCTAACAGGACACAGCATGAGCTGTAGGATTCAGTACCTTTTATGTCTCAGATCACACAGTGTTAAGTATGAAAGTGTGCAGAGTGTTCTAGTTTTTAAAGGGGGAACAAAAAGACAATGGTGAGGAACAGAGCAGGATACAATCTCGCATTAATGAACATATTCAAGGTCAGAGGTGATGTCACACGGAAAAGAACATCTTAAAAGACACTTTCTTTGAAGGACATAGGAGTTTTTTGTTTGTTTTTAATATCATAAATGAGGGAGAGCTGTGTCAATAAAACTAAAACATAAAAGGCTCAGAAGGCTCCAACTAAAGTAGAAAAAATCCAGGCACTGATATGATAGTTGAAGCTCTGAGTTACAATAATCTACTTCCATGATGACAATGGTTGGGAACAGCTTTCTCACAGAATTTTGTAACACGGGAAAGATAGAGAAAGCTGAGACAGAGACACAAGGTCATTTCTACTTAATAAGAACATGAACAAGTTAGACATTACAGAGAGGTCATTCTTCAGGTGACTCAAGAAGTCAGTCGGTAAATCCACATGGATGGTTTTCTAAATCTTTCAACTGAAGAGGATTTCTGTGAAAGCAGAAACACTGCGAATACACAGTGTCAATGCTCGTACATACATCTGGTGATCAGCAGGTGGTGAGGGTACATAGATACATAGAGAAGAAAAAGATGCTGACCACATGACCCATGCCCAAGTGAAGAAAACATGGAAACTGCTTTATAATGACCCCAAATACCCCGATCCCTCATTTCTCCCACACACAAAGCAACAACTAAAATGAAGTGTTGAAAAACATAAAAGTGAAACACTGCACACAGAGTTTTCAGTATACTCAACATAATGTAGCACAGCCAGACTGTATAAACCATTTGTTAAAAAAATATCTTCTTTTTATATTGTATGAACAAGTCGAAAGAGTCCCTCCAAGTGTTCACTCCCTCGCTCACCACTGTGTGCAGGCGATGTGCCAGTCTGGCTGGGCTCTTCAAGCTTCTCTCTCCTCACACATCTGCTTACAGCTCCAGCAGGATCTGATGAGAACCGTTTTTTGAGGAAATACTATCTGATGCCTGGAAGTGTCATCAAGACACTACTGGGGTCATATCCCACAACTGTAAAAGGAAAAAGAAGATAGGCAATGAACTAAAATTAAATTGTATTGAGGATAAACAGTCCTTATCATTGAATTCAAGTGAGCTTTTTAATTTAACAAGCAACCAAATACTATACTAACATGATTTTGAAATCTGTACAATAGTATTTTTCCATCAAAAAGTATGGCATAAACCTCAAAAACATGACAATGGCAGCTGGAAATGTTAATCCAGCTAACGGAGAATAAATAAAGGCAGATCACTCATTTAAGGGGGAGGGGAACTATGATATTTAGGCACCAAATGGGTACCAGGGTTGTGCTGTGTTCTTTCCATATCTTATCTCATTTAATCTTCAAAACAACTCTACAAGGTGTTTCGTTTTCAAAAATACCGGAACCGAGGCTCCCAGAGCTTAAACTTGCTTAAAGTCACAGAGGTCTGGTAGCTTCCAAAGGGGGTTATTTTAACCACCTTATCCTGCTGCTGTCTCCAAGAATGGACCAGAACAGGCCCGGGAGAGGCAGAGCTCGGCGTGCTGGGCCAGCTGGGCCGGGCCTCTGTGTTTTTCAGGGAACAATGCCGGTGTGGCCCTGCGTCCTGGGCCTGCGCCGTGGCCCTGAATCCATGAAGTCTACCTCAGTCCTCAGAGAGGCCCTAGAGGAATGCTTCTCGATTAATTGATCTCACTGGGAAAAGGTCGTGTTTATTACTTGTTGGCTTATTCAAGTCCTGGCTTTCATTCAGTACTCAGCTCAAATCCCTCCTCCTTCAGGAAGCCACCTCCAGCAGCACCATCTCCCTCTAGGGGACTCTTAAGGTCTTTGTCTGCATTACTCTTCTGGCCACTGCTCATGTGACCTATTATTAACTGTCTTTTTAAGAGTACGTCACCAGTAGACTAGCCGTTCTTTGGCAGGCAAGAGCCATGTATTATCTTGGTGTGTACAGCCAGTGCCTGGCATAGGGCCTGGTATGTAACAGGTTCTCAAAAATGCTCATTGCCAAGGGTAATCTGAGCAGACTGCATGTGGTCTTGGTGCTCCTGTATATTCACATAGGTCCAAAGATGGAAAGCTCCTAAAATAAGATGGCATCCTACCTTAATAACTTTGTCAGTTCCCGAGGTCAGTAACCATCCTCTGGTTGCATCGAAATGCATGTGCACAATGTTATGTTTACTGTCGTGGAAGGTAGCCGTGGGCGCATGTCTGGAAGAAGTAAAGAAAATTCCACGAGTGAAAAGCTATGACATACAAACAAAGGATATCCAGGGTGATGCTAAGCTCTAATTTTTAGCCAAATGGCTAAAACTGCTTCACTGGTAGAAATGCTGCTCGGATCTACCTTTATTCCCTGGTGATCTGTATGATTTTTTTTTTTTTAAAGGTGAAAGGGTTGTTATATTCCTCAAAATGGGAAAGAGATAATGAATTTTCAAGTCTCTTACAGATTATTTGTTGCTTTGATAGAGTCTATGAAAAACTCTATGTTTTTGACAAATTCAAAAACAAAACGAAACAAAACACCACAGTACTTTTGCCAAGTTTGCTCTCCAAAGGACTGTGGTAAAATAGTCTATCTTTGCCTACTTAGTGGAAAAAAAAATGCTTGTTAAAATGTCTAAGATACTATTATCATTCTATTTGAACGGCTATATACTTTTCCCTCTTTTTACAGGTTTAACAGCAGACTTACTTTTTCTATAGGTTTGCTAACACTTCAACATAAACAAACATTGTTACCTGTTTTGTATTTTTTAATCTATGCTTTTTTTTGTGGTTAAGAAGGAGGCCTGTCAACTGCCCAGGTGCTCTAGAGGCAATGCAAATGCTTCCACAAAGAGGCAGAAGAAACAGAAACAGTGATGTGGGAAAGGGGGCAGGGGACATGGGGAAGGAGACAGCTGTTCTCTAATCATGTTTCAAGGGTTTCCACTCCTCTGTAGTGGGCTCTCTGAAGACGGCTGTTTTCTTCTTTTTTATCTATAGCTAAATCTGGGGAATAAATCTTCAGCATACTAAAAATGATCACATTAAAATATTTAGGATTACAGATTTAGATTTAACTTGCAGTCACTTAGACCCTCTGGGTCTGTGTCTTTATCTATAAAATGAACAATTAAACTATTAATAGACTATCTCTAAGATCATGTGCAGCTCTCTAATTGAATGAGAAGAACTCATATTAATTCCATCATGTATGATGAGTGGAAAATAATGAACAGAAATGCTTACTTATGCAAGGGCATCTTAATTTATATTTGATATGGATAAATAACAATGAAAAACACATAAATTAGGGTTATCTGTAGGAGAATGGTTTGTTTTAGTAATTTGCCAAGAATCTCCTTTAAATGCTGATTTACTCTGGTGCATTGTAAATGTTTCTATTTCTGTGCAGCTTTTCAGGCACCCATCTAGTACTTAAATGATACAAGTATATACCAGGTGATGGAGGTATGTGAGGGTGGGAGAGTCAGGCAGCTGGTTTCCTATGAAATCCTGCTGGAATTCACTAAAAGGGAAACTTGTTGCAGAGCATTGTTTACATCTGGGGCAGTTTTCAGTTAGCCGAAGATGAAGATAAAGAGACAGCACAGATCTGTCCCACCCTCCGGAGCACACAGTGGCGCAGTAACCTAAGATCCTGGGTTTCTGGGCAAGACCGTCCAGCAAGACTGAGTAGCTGGGCAACTGGTAGTATTTGCCTCATAGGTAAAGTGGCTCAGCTCTTCTTGGAAAACAAAACCTCTGGAGTCTGGGGGGCTGGTTCGTCTCCTGTAAAGATACCAGCTTGGGCTAGAAAGTGAACCCTGGGCTCCTGAACTCCTGGGCACCTCTCTCAGGGAAGTGAACAGAGCAGGCAGAACGCTTTGCTTGAAGAACATCTGTTCACAGTGCACATACCCCTGGGGTTGAGAAGCATGCTTTGTGCAAACTTTCCTCTCCTATCACACAAGAGAAGACCATCTCTTGGTGGAAAGTAGGGCTTTGCCCACTTGCCAGGGTCTGTATTCTAAACCAGCGGGAACTAGGGCACTAGTAGTCACGACTGTAGTGCTGGGTGCAGCTCTCAGATCACATTCTCTCCTTAACCTGGACAATTTTGCAGACTGCTGGAACTTACTCCTCATCTGTGATGGCCTCGTGGCAGCTGTCACAGACTCGCACTTCAAACTCGAAGCCCATGAGAGGGATGGAGGAGCGCTTGGAGCTGCACTTGCCGCAGACGGCCTTCCCGCACTTGCGGCAGTGGTGCTGGGGAGAGAGCAGAAACTCGTTAAGCCTGCTGCGCCGCGGCGTCTCCAGGTAGGCTCAGGTGTGATCATCTACATCCAGGTGAGGATGCGAAACAGGAGTGCCCCAGAAAATGGAAAGGAACACACCAGGTGTGTTCTCTTTTGGACGCTGTTTATTCAGAATGAGGACTGTCGGGAAACACATCTGACAGTGCCACCTCCCCACTGTCCCCTCCCCCATTCTTGGTCCTTTTCAGTTATTATTGCTATGAGCTCTAGAGGAGCCAGTCAGCGGTCAGGTTATCTTAAAGCTGGATGTACCGAGGAAGTGCCATCTGCAGAGATTATGCTGCCTGATGAAGGAGAACATGAATGAACCCTGATTCAGCTGTTTAAACTCTGGCCGTGATCAACCCTGGGGAGCAATGAAATCAACATCTGGTTTTCTTGGGGAGGATCCGACTCAGCCATGGAATCAGACTGAAAATGCCGTGTTAAAGTAGATCTAAATAACTAAAACTAAGACTAAAGGAAGGAAAGTGAAATGATTAAGAAGAAATAAATACCACCTCTATAATTTCATGGTTTGGTACCAATATGAGTTAAGCATGACCCCTCTAATTTTAAGGTATATTTCAATAGGTGCCACTAGAATTCTAAAGTCATAATCCCTTAACTACTTACTGGGAACAAGCCACTATAAAAACTGAATCCAGTAGGAATGAGCTACAGTGATAAAGGGAATAAATTAACTTGTAGTCACAAAGCAACTCCATGATAATTTATCCCTATTTCTTCTAAGATCACAAGGTATAATTATTTCCCCAGTACTTCAGTTTGATGAAGCAACCATATCACCCACCTGTCTTAGGCCAATTTTCTTACTGTCCCACATCTGCTTGAAGTTCCAGAAGAAAGGCTGATCACACTTTTGGCAGGAATCACTGTCCAACCATTCAGGGGTCTTGTCAAATAAAGCACACAGCAGGTCATAGTGAGAAGCAGTGAGGACAATGGAACCATTGACATTGATGAAACTTACAAAATCAGGATTTGTTTGCAAGGAACACAAGTGTGATTTCTCAGTCATTTAAAACATATTTACTGATGGCCCTGGGGATGTAATGGTGAATAAAAAGAATCTCATGGAGAATCATCATGGAAGGTTAAACACAAACATATTATTAATAATTATTTAAATAAGTATAAGCGCCAAGGCCTGGGAAGGAGAAGCACAGGGTGCTCTGAGAATGCTATGACCTAGGCTGGGGTTCAGGGGTGTTCAGGGACAGCCAGGGCCGTTATCAGCAGAGTCCTGACAGCCATGTTGAGGATATTCTCTGATCGTATGCAATTATATTTGTTCTGATTGTGTACAAGTATATCTAACTGCACATTACATATACACACAGCTACCCGTGTTGGAGGGGCAGAACCTGACCACAGTGGGTACTCAGAGAAGCTACCTGTCCACTATCCACTTGTGGCAAGGCCCAGCGGGGTTTGAAACTCAGCTCCTGGGTCACACAATATTCTGACTTTGTTCACTATTTCCCAACCCCATCACGAGTACTCTAAACTACGTCAAACAGGTTTAAAAGCTGTGTTAAGCTTAAAGTTATTCTTTAGCAAATCTTTATAGATTATGCAGATAGTGACTCTGCATTTGCTTCTAGAGTTCCATGTTCAGCTCTGTAAATTCATCACCTGGTAGAGGAATCTTGAAAAATAAACACAATGCCAGGGTTTTCCAAAAGTGAATTCCAGGGAGCTCCAATTCGATTCTTATTATAGAAGAGGCCTGAGATCAAACAAGTTGGAGAAATGTGGGCAACAATAGTCTGATCCCTCTCTAAGATTCACTATGGCCAGCAGTATAGTAAAGGCTCAGGAAGGCCTTTTTCTGTTGATGTAATGCTTTTCTGAGGAATACCACTTATGGAACAGATTTAGCCTATTCTCCTACCTTCAAGCAGACAGGAAGCTAAAGCTATACATTTTCTCAAAAAAAAAAAAAAAAGGTAAAAAGTGACATTTTAAGAGCTCGAATTCTTAATCTATTTATTTTATTAAAGCTGAAGGAAAGAAGCAAGCCTTGATTTGCTTTGTAGTTTTCATGTCTTAATCAGTTTAAAGACAGATTTAACAAAGCTAAAGACAACATTTTACCCCTAAAACACAAATCTAAATCTATATTGTAATTTTTCAGAAAACTTGTTATGCAGGAAGATTTACAAAAAACTTACACACACACACGCGCGCGCACACGCACACACACACACACACACACACACACACACACACACACACACGCCCACTACATCTTTTACCAAGAAGCATGCAGGTTTAGGACATATATCAAACACATCATAGTGGGTTTCTATGAGGAAAGAATTGGGAGTAAGAGTCAGGGAAGAGGAAAAAATAAATCAGCATGTGGTGTGTAGTATGATTACACTTTTTTTTTTTTTGTCAAAAACATCTTCCATATGTGTATATGTAGAGAAAAATGTACGGAGGGATGCTCTGGCAGCCTACTCAGGGTGATATTTCTGGGTGGTGATATTATGAGTAACTGACATTCTATTTGTTAAGGAGCACTATAACTTTTCTACAAAGAGCATTTATTACATGTACTTTGAAAAAAATGATAAAATTTTTGAAAAAATTGATTTCAGTAACCGTATAAATACATATATAATCTATGGATGTCAACCTGATGGTCAGCCACTCAAGGTCTTCCACCACCTGTCCTCCCCGCCCCGACCCTGCAGCCAGCCTCTCTCTGCGGGCTTCTCCGTGCATGCACACTAATGCTCCGTGTACGACACTCATGGTCACCTGGGCTTTACTCTTGGTGTTTCTTGTCCTGCTCAGAGCACGTCCTGGCCCCATTAATCTTTCAGCACTATGTCTTTCTACAAACACTTCTTTGAGAGCATTAGCCAACAATGGCAACGCCCCTTCCTCAATACTCAGCGCTAATGCTCTAGTTTACATCGACTGCAACTGATTCATTTATACCATTTAATAGTTTTCTTAAGTTTTCTCCCACATGTCTTTTCTTCCAGGAAGTCTGTCAGCGCTTGCGGGTAGGGACTGCTTCACCACACATCTCAGATCTCCCGAGGTGAGCACTGCATGGCACTTGCCATAACCAGGTGTAGCTCCACAGATACATCTCAGGGGGTTTATGTTTTTATGACACTTGCAAAAAATGGATGGAACCATCTCCACTGCTCATTTGGAGCTCTGAATCACTCAACAAGATTTAAATAGTCAACAAGGACAGAGTGCTCATATATCTGCATGTTAAAAGGCGTAATTTAAGCAAGATAGCTCAAAGGACTGCCCACCAACCACCTGGTTTCCTCTCTGGAAACACTGTCCTCCTGTGGGCCTCTGTCCTTCAAGGGTGGAGGCTGCATGATGCAGGGGGTCAGAATGGGTCACCCCTCACTCCAAGATGTGCCTCTGTGGTGTGTGAATTATTTTGAGCTAAAGGCAACTGAGACCCTGCAGGCTCATGAGAAACTTTTACCTGTCCTTTAAAGAATTTAAATTAGGGGCCTTGTCCATAAGAGTTATCACCAGAAATAACTTTTTATGACTGATCTGTAGGGAAGGGCAAACTTGTAATTATTGAACATCTGCTCTTCTTATCATCCTGCAGTGATTTGCCTTCCCTCTGAAGCCCCAATGCAATCCTTAGCTCTGAATGTCATTATTACCTCATCTTCCCTTTCTGTCTTTGAACCCCTCATATATGTGGGGGTCTCTGACTCTCTCATGTATGTGGGGTTCCCATACATATATATGTAATTAAATGTGGTCATTTTCTCTTGTTAATCTCTCTCATGTCTGTCTGAATGTTAGACCAGCTGAAATAACCTTGAGGTTAAAGGAAAATCCCCCCCCCCCCCCACAGTGCACTGAAGGAAAAAAGTCCAATGGTCCCCTCCTTAAAGGTCAGGTCAGTCAGGCCTGGGAAGAGGGTGTGGCTGTCCCTCACCTAAAGCAGGCTGCCATGCAGAGGACCAGTCATATGGAAAGCCTGGCCAGCCTGGCTAGCATGCATTGTATCAATTTCCATGCCTTTATACTGGTAGGGCCAAATGGTACTTTCAAAAGCAATATTCTATAATTCCTCACTTCCTAACAGTAATGATCATTTTAATTAGTTACTAATAGAACTCCTGTGGATTTATGGTTTGAGCAAATCAAGCTTTAATCTTCTTAAGCATTTAATTACTGGCATTTGAAAGGCATTACATTATGGGTAATATTCTCTTGAAATGAGATTGGGTAAAGGGCAGGGAAAGATTTTGGGAAACCGCTTTTGCCATTTTTGAAGTGCTGCTTTTCTTCAAGGGCAGCAGGTTAGCTCAGTTGGTTAGAGTGCAGTGCTCATAACACCAAGGTTGCTGGTTCAGTCCCTGCATGGACTGCTAAGTTGCGCCCTCCACAACTGGATTGAAATAACTACTTGACTTGGAGCTGATGGGTCCTGGGAAAACACACTGTTCCCAATTAAAAAAAAAAAAGAATTATGAAAAAAAAAAGTGTTGCTTTTCTGAAATTAGAAAAACTTTACACTGTCAAAGGGAAACCTGACCCAGGAAAATTCTAGGGAAATGAGAACATAGTTACCTTCAAAGTACTTGTCAAAGGGAATATTCAGAAAATATATCAATTTTTAAGGTGCCAAAGGTGAAAGAGAAAACTCATAAAAAAAGAATGTTATGATAAAACAATAATATATGCTTAAAAATGACGAAGTATATATTTTATCTGGGGAGTTGTTTAAGACATGACTCATAAAGACACAGAAAAGAATTATTTCTAACATTTCTATGACTACCACACTAAGGCTTCTTTATCAAATACCCTTTCTCATACACTAGCCACCATTTCCCTCAATAACACAAAGCACATGAGTTTTCTGTTTCCATAGGAAACTTTATACAAGAAGGCTAATCACCTGAAAATCGAAGGTTCCTTTTTCTCATATGAAGTTTTGCTGTGAATGGTGCAACAAATTTAAAGTCTAAACAGCTTAGTATCAGTCTAAATTCTTATGTAATCTCTATTACATGAACGCTAAATGCCAATTTGTGAGGGGTTATACTTTTACACTTGATTTTTTTAGTCTCTGACATAACATGTCTTATTTCATGGTTTAATCATAAAAGAAGTAAGAAATGAGCAGGAGGGGAGGCTGAGCCATTTTTCAGCACAGCCAGAACTGCAGAGCCCAAATTGGCAGCTATGGAGGAAGAGGTCCCCAGCCTGCTGTGGCACCTACCTCCTGTCTCTCCACGTCCATGTTCCAGATGACAATGCCACCATCACCGCCACATGAGATGAGCTGCCGCGTGTGCTGCACATATGAGAGAGCCTGGACTTTGTCACTGTGAAAGAAAGCAAGAGTTAGTGACAGTTCAGGAGAGCAAATGAAAGCCCTAAGGGAAGGACGCCCAGCAGCCAATGTGCACACTCAATGGTGAGCCCCAAGTACAGGCCTTAGAAATCGGATGGAACTGTCAACATGCCAGTAAGGTTTGAAAGTCAAAGTACTCACTGAGGATGCTGAGGCCCCAGGCAGAGGTCATCTTTGTCTGCTACCAACACTTACGCAGAAAAGCTGATTGAACTGGTTGTCACATCTTACTGGTTCCTTCCCTAATTCATTAAACAAATCTGTGACACGTGTTCATGTTATATTTGTTTAACAGATTTTATCTTTTAAAAAAGGTATCCTTTAAGAGTTTTGGAGTTCATCCATCACGAAGTCCACTGGGTTCACCTCACAGAGCCAGGTAAACTGTGTTGCCTCAGGCGTGAAATGCGCCATGGGTGGCTTAGGCCCAGGCGCGCCATTTCTCGGCTCCCAGAGTGAATCCAAAGCAGCAGAAGACTTGATCTTCACTGACTCTATTTCTCTGGTTTTTATTCCCTCTTTACTGATTTGTGCTTTATTTTTCTTTCTAATCCATGCATGGCTGACAAGTTATTTCCTCTTGGAGGCAGCAACGATGGAGAATCGAGTTTCGTGGTCTAACAAAAGACTATAGAGATCTATTTTCTGTTGGATGAAAGAGAATACAGAATGTGGTTTCTTGGTTGTTTCTGTTTGAATATTTTTCTATTTTGAGCTCAAATCAATTAAGAATTCTGTGCCCAGTGGGAAGGAGAGCAGCTCTTTGAAATCTGGACTGGTGATGTTTTGTGTTTACTTTTGACCCGTGGCTGAAGCTGTAGAACTGAAGCTATTAAGCTCTGTGTCTGTGTCTACAATTCAGAAAGGCCTTTACCTCTTATAGTGTATGGAACACTTTCCTATATCTGGGGGTATCAATACATTAGATTATAGCACCTTTTAAATTGTAATGATTTCTTCTGTTTGGCTTATAAAGATAAACAAGTGCTTATATAAATTGAATGTTCCTAAACTTCCCAGAAAATAAGGAAATTGAACCTATAAAGCTTTACATTTACTAGCCTTACAAATAAAAATTATTTTACAGAAAATGCTTTGTAACTCAAAATTTTAAGAATCCAAGTTCACAAAATTAAGGTAACTCTTTGGCAAATGAGAATAGGATGATAAGTTTTAAAACACAGCTATGTCGTTCTCGAAATGATTTATCAAGTGTTAAGTATAATGAAAGTGTACATTTTATTTTAGTTGAGTTGATTTCTCCTAAGTTTATATAGAATAATAGGCCAAATAAGCTAATATTATGCCTACATGTTTAAGGTTATGAAAAATATAAATGTGTTCAACTAAAGTGAACACAATTTTTCTGATAAACTTTTTTATATAAATAGCAATTATGTTTTACAGCATATCAACTTAGAGATAATTCCTAAGGTCTTTGTGTAACTTAAAATGGACCAATATTAAGTTGAGCTAATTGACAGAAATCACTGGACATCAGCCTAGATAATTTCTAAGTAAGTTAGAATACTGAAACTTTGATTACGAAGCATATTAAGTTAATATAGGCTTGCTTCTTATTTTTATATTCTATAGAGAGGCTATAACTGAGGTAAGTGATATCTATGAACATGTTCATTTTGCCACTTTGAGGGGATGTAAAAGTGATGTATGTTGCAGTAGAAATTTATGTGTGTTCGCGAGCTTTGCTAGTCTAAAATGCTTTTATATGATAGACAGTCTCAATTATCCACATCCACCCTCCTTCCAAGTTTCTCTATAAAATGTAAGTTAATTCTAATAATTAAAGTGGGTGGTTGAGACTATGCCAGGTTCAAATGAAAAAGAAATACAATTATGTATGCACTTTTTGAAAGAAAAAGAGAGTAGCTTTACCTTAAAGCAGTGGTTGTTGAACTTTTTGGTCTTAGGATATCTTTACACTCTTAAAAGTTATTTGAGGAAACCAAAGAGCTATGGTTCAAGTAAGTGATAACTATCAGTATTTGTATTTGAAATTAAAACTGGGAAACTGTGAAAATATTGATTCATTTAAAAATAGCAATGATGAACCCATTCCATTTTAATAGAACATATATTTTAAAAAATTATGATTTCCCAAAACAAAATACTTTAATGACAAAAAAGGCATTATTTAACATTTCTGTAAGTCTTTCTAGTGTCTGGCTTAACAAGAGAGAGCCAGATACACATCTCTTTCTGCATTTGTGGTGATGTCACTCATCATGTAGTCTCTGGAAAACTCCATGTATACTTTTTGAGAGCATATGGATAAAAAAGGCAATTCTAAAGTAAAGTATAAATTTGTTCCAGAATATGAAAGAGAAAAAAGGAAGGACAGAACTTGGACAGTGAATTTTATTTGCTTTGGTTTGTAATACTTTAGCCTGAAAAAAAAATCTATAAAATATATTAAAATTTTGACATAGTTCCCTCAATTTTGATAGCTTGCTTCCTTGGTTTACTGATGAATGCCTCTGACTAAAATGCAAAAGGATATTCTTTACCTGCTATGGAATCTGCCTAGCTAGCAGAGATTCTGTGTTTCACCAAAATTATTTTTAGAGCTTTATGTTGACTTGATTAAAGTCCTTGATTAATTAAAGAAGAAAAAAATAAGAGCCTCTTATGAAAAGAGCGAAATTCTTTAAGATTGTGTTACTTTCTCTATTTATTTTCAAATGTTTTATTGTTACTCTGATTATGTAGATTATCAAGTATTGTTTTTTAGGCACCTACGCTCCTATCTTAATCAAGCACCTAAAATTCTGACAGTTCTTTTGGTTTTGCCTTCTCAGACTAATCCTTGTATTTTGAAAAAAATAATTTAAAATGTTAGAATATTTTTACACCTAAAGCTATCTTTGAGATTTCTGGAGGGGTCCTGGAAAATCACAATGATTCGTTCCTTTGCCTTATATAAAAAGAGAGATGCTATAAATATCTGCATTTGTTTGCTGTGTTACTATTTTAAGGGTTGCATGGGAAGAGTTGTCAGATCAGAATAAATGCTCAGTCTTCCCTAGGTTAAGGCAGTATAGGTAAAATGCTATTACTATAAGTATTCCTGAAATTGTATATTTTATGGGAAGACCCTGTAGATTTTATGAATGTTCTCATTGCCTGTAATATTTTTTTTTCCTTCAGGGGAACTACTGATCAAAACTCTTAGGAAATACTTATGTAGGGTATCTCAATAGAGAATTTTAATCTCTTCCATTCTGATAGTGTTTGTCACAGTAAAAATATTAACCATTATATCTCTATTCTCTACAGACAACATCTGTATTACTCTGATGCTTCCCTGAGGGTTCTGCCATAAGCTGCAGGCCAGAAAGGACAATCTCAGAGTTTCGTGGAAAAGGACTCTATATACCAGGTATTTTAAATACTGATATTCCAAAGAATAGGCTATTGAGCAAAGGCCATTGAGCTGACATTGCTTAGACAATTTTTAATCTGTGCTAGTGGGTTGAGTTAGGATTTCCTTGGATTTCTGAACTCTTTGAAGTCTGGGATGCATATGTCTTTGTGAATGTGGACTGCTAAACCAAGAACCAGCAGAACAAGAATTACACAGGACTGAATAAACTGAAGAGGGAAATTTTACTGAGCTGTTTGGAATACTGTTGATATTTTTATGTTCTATTTTCTGGATATGTGAGGATGCCTTTACTCTTACTTTCTATGCTACCTCTAACCTACAATTTAGTAAACTCTGCTTTTATAAGCTAAATCAAAACATTTAAAAATGATATCTAATTCTCACTGATCTCCCAGAATCCAAAAACCGAGTCCCCTTATTTTTCATGGCAATATAGTTATTTCAAAGGTTTAATTAGAATCTATCTGCAGGATATAATTGGGCAACCAAGCCCTTACCTAGGGTGTCACATTAGAGAGTGATACCCGCTGAATCAGATATGACTAGCCGCTTTAAGAATCAATGGAGCCAATCCCTACAAAGCCCTCCCAGGAAAACTGGCCTGGTCCATGGGTTTACATTGTCCTGGCCTCACAGGTGGTAAGGAAGCTACCAGGACAGGAACCTAGCAAATGTTGGAAACCTTGAGGAATTCAACCAAGGTTATAAGTACTACAGGTGAAATATGATGGAGTGTTTCTTGGGGTTGGTTTACTAGCCTTGGGGTAGAAAAGCCCAATCCAAAATTCCTTATAAAAACTTCCAGGCAGAACTTAATTCTGTGGGCTTAGTTGTTTCATGCTATATGACTGTTCATTTGCAAAGCCAACCAAGAAGGCCAACATGGTTAATTAACACTTACTGCACCAGTGTAAATAATTAGGCCAAGCCTTATGAGACCAGCCCTATTTTGTGATGGAGAATAATTTTTGAGATTATTATGATTATAAAAGAGGAAGGAGGATGAATTGTCAGATAGGCTGTGAAAGACTTTGAAATGGATGAAATTCAAGGAATATTAGGTGTTCAATGGAATATTAGCTCACTCTTCTGAGTTATCTGATTCTATAGGGATCTGTGGCTTTAACTGAGCTTTTTTATAACTCAGTAAGTTATAGAAAACTGCTATTATTGCAAATGAAACTTGTCCAGTGAAGATGCAACTAATCTCCATGTCCTGACCCTCCCATGGAAGAAGCTAATTGTGACTCTACTCACAAATACATTTTCACATTCTCTATTGCCTATGCATGTATCTAGTCTGGATTTTCCTTGGAACTGATTGTAACATCTGCTATTTCCTGTATTAATTAATGACTAATATAAAATCTTTGACACGTATTCATTAAAAAACATCAATTGTTTTCTATCTGTCCTGGTTATTATTTCATATATTTTAAAGTATAGTGTGCCACCATTCTGACATTCAGGCACAAGAAGGAAAATCTATCTCGTTGAACAGACTCATAATCCTGTGATTTGAACTACATTTCATTTGTTAAGGCATCTTGATACACATCAATGAT